GGAGACCCCACAAGATGGACTTGAACCAGTGTCCAGTCTACAAAGAGGAGGATCAACACAGAGGAATCATTTCCCCCATGCTTCAAAGCGAAGCCAACCATGGTTGAGCAGTACCTTTGACTTATCTTCACATAGGCAGAACTGGTAAAAGAAAGGAGCCAGGGGCTCCTCCAAAGCCCATGTGACCCCTGAGGAACAGATCCTCAAACGACCTTAAGAGTAAAAATAAATTAGTTTATCTGAACCAACTATATGGCCTTAAATACCCAAAAGGAATGTATAACTGAAGATTAAAGGGACCAATATAATTTTTTAAGAGTCCATATGCATAGCTAAAGGCTACAAAATAAGCAACAATGCCAGATAGGAGATACCTTCTTTTGAGTTGTTGGCCACGGTGGCCAAAGGGACTCCCAGATAGTAACCCAGCATAGAACTGGGAAAGTGAACAGCAGACCCCAATCTTATCTAAAGGAATACTGACAACTGATTGCTGCTAGATGAGGAACAGCTGACCTTCCTAAAACAAAGACCTCTAGACAGGCTGACTAGATTCACCAGATGGACAAGTAGTGGGGAATGGCTGGGGCTGCTGACAACACAGCAGAAAGTAGCAGGGATATCAGAGTACAAAGGCTCTAGTAGGGGGAGGGTGACTATGGGAGGGTGCTACCTGGGGAGTGGGTGTATTGTTGAATAAGATGGTTTGGGATGTTCTGTGTGATACACACAAAAAAAATTGAGAAATTTTAAAAAATGTATTATATTTGAGGAGGAAGCATGGAACTTTACACCATCATCATGTTAATTAGTAGAGGAGATAAACATTACCATTGAAATCTACCTGATGACTTTATAGACATACACAGGCGCCAAGGATCGAAGTGCAACCGATTATGACTAGTAATAGATACATACAGATTAGAGATGCATGCGCCAACATCTCAGTGTTAGTAGCAAAAACAATGAGTCTTTCTGTAAGGAACAATATATTCTAAAATGAAATGGAGATCTTTTTAAAGGTTAAAAAACTCATTCAATTTTATGTCTTACAGGGCTTATACTGAGTTCAATATTGTATAACTGTATTAGTTCAACTGTGAACCTAGAAACTTACAGCCACTTGTGAAAGAGATGTACTCTTGCTCTGGAGTGTGTTACTGAATATGTTAAAGCTGTAATGAAATGCTTCTTCCAATCATGTAGTTATTAAAAATTTTTTAAAAATACACACAATAAAACCCAAACCCAATCCAAACTGGAAAAAAAAAAGTCTCTCACTGAACCTGTCACTTGCTGGTATGCTTTCCTGTTTCTACCCTATACAAGCAAATCTCCACCTCAAAGTCTGTTTCTTGGGGGAAAAAAAACTAAAAGAATGACTATAAATTTATCACTTTAAATGTAACTCAGAATAATAAATGTATCATTTCTACTAGGTACCTGATTCTGAGTCGATCATTTTCTGAGTAGAGGCGTAAAACATGTTCCCGTTCTTGGAAAAGGCAAACCTGCATATCACTAAGAGCTTTCTGCAATTCAGCAATCTCTTCCTCCCTCTGCTGCAAATTCCATTCAAGTTTATGCTGCAAAAAAAACAATAAAGTAGGTGACATACACTTCATTTGTTCTTTGCATGTGTGTGATGTGTATGCATAATGCATGCACGCATATGTGTGTGTGCAGGCCAGGGGTTGATGCTGGGTCTCTTCCTCTATTGAGTCTCACCTTATGTTATGAGACAGGATGTCACATTGAACCTACAGCTCACCAATTCAGTTAGGCTGGCTGGTCAGCAAGCTCTAGGATCCTCCTGTTCCCAATGTGGGGATTACAGTGTGTACTGCCATACCTGCCATTTAACATGGGTGCTGGGGATCTGAATGTGCATTCCCATGCTTACATGGCAAGCACTTTACTGACTTAGCCATCTCTAAAGCCCCTTCTTCTATTATTTTTTAGTAATACCTTCTGTGATGGTTTCTATTGATTGCCTACTTTCCAGGATCTAGAATCACTGAAGAGACAAGCCTCTGGGCATGCCTGTAAGGGATTATCTCTATTAGGTTAACTGAAGTGGGAAGACCCACCAAATGTGGGTAGTACCATTTTATGGGCTGGGGTCATGGACTAGATGAAAAGAAGAAAGCAAGCTGAGCACAAGCATCCATCACTCTCTGACTGTAGATGCAGTATGACCAGTCACCCGAAGGTCCTGTCACCATGCAGTTCCCACGATAAAAGACCATATCCTCAAACTATGAGCCAAATAAACCCTTCCTTCCTTAAGCTGCTCTTGTCAGAGTATTTTATCATAGCAATACATATATAATACATTTTACAATAACATTTAGGAACAGAAAGATGAAAACGTAGAATTCCTGCCTATAGAGAGGAATTTCATGGGGAGACAGAGACACAAAATACCCAAGGGAAGAGTGTATATGATAAGCCGGAATGGGGGAAAGTGGGATGGGAGCAAATTTTTAAAGCCTCTTTGGGAAATCAAGGATCAAAACCAAAGAAGCCAGGCAGGCATGGTGGCACATGCCTGTAATCTTAATAACTGTGAGTTAGAGGTGGAAGGATTAGGAGTTCAGGGTCATCCTAGGCTATATAGTAAATGAGGGGCCAGTCTGCCTACATGAGTCTCTGTCTCAACAAAGCTAAAGCTAAAACACACATGCACACACACACAACATAAATCATTATCAAAGAGCTGAAATTAACTATGAATAGATTAGGAGACAGGCAAAGTGTGGTAACTCTCAGAAAACAGCAATAAACCAGTCACGGTGGCTTACACACAATCCCAGCTACTCAGGAAACTCAGGCAGGAAGATAGCAAGTTCAAGGCCAGCCTGGGCAACTTAGTGAGATAACCCTCTCAAAAAACAGTAATAACAAACAAAAAAACCCCAAATACATTAGAAAGAAGACTGCAAGGATGAAACAAAGTTTCTCGGGAAGAAAAAGGGAGTAGGGCCAGGGGAAGCACTGATAGACCCAGCCTGAACAGGCAATGATGCTTGCTGCGGAAGGAACAAACAAGAGGTTGAGATGGTTCAGCAGGTAAAGTGCTTGCCACAAAGCCTGATTACCTGAATTCAATCCTCAGGTAAAGAGAACTGATTCCTGCAAGTTGTCCTCTGACCTCCACATGTGCATTCTGCATTGTGGCATGTGCATATGTACACACACATACAAATAAATGTAATTTAATAATTTTTTAAACAAATAAATAAAACAAGAAGGGATTGAGAGTGTAGCTTGGTGGTAGAGTTCTTGCTTAGCATCTGCAAGATCCTAGGTTTGATTCCCAGCACAAGGGGGTCAGGGAATAAACACACATGTAGGTAATAGTAGACAGGCAAGAAGGGAGTTCATGTATAAGAATCCTCTGGGAACTTGGAAACAAATTATCTATTGAGGGAAGAGAGCTAAGAAAAGGTTGAAGACTGACATAGATTGAAGGAAGAGACTAGGAAAGGAAACCAATCCTGGATAGGTTTAAAAAAAACTGCTGTGTGGTGGTTGAAGGTACAGTAGAATTTATCAACTCATTCCATAATGACTGGTGGCCTTGCCGGAATAGTTCTAACAGGCAGGATGGTTCTAACAGGCAGGATGTTGTACACATACCTCTACTCTCACTCTTCCCCATCCAGACCTAGAAACATGGCAGTGCCTTGAGACATTCTTGACTTTCTTCAACCATGGTGGGGATTGTGCTACTGATATGTGGTAGACAAAGACCAAGAAACTTACTATAGAGGCTTTGATGTGTAAGACAGCACTCCACAACAAAGAATTATCCAAACCAAGTGTCAGTATTTCTGAGGTAGAGTAATTCTGCTCCAGGAAAATAGGAGGAAGAGAGCTAGATCAAACTACAGTTGGGTTTTTATTATATAGGTAAAGCAAAAGAATAATTAAGCATTTGTAAGGAGAATTTACTACTAAAATAAAGCAAGACAGAGTTTAGGTTAGAAGGATATGATATTGGAAGCTAAAATACAGTACTTAGAAAACTGCAAAATTTGGAGTTTGTAGCTTAGTTGGTAGAGTATTTGCTTAGCAAACAGGTTGAGGCCTGGGTTTAATCCCCAGCACTGCAGAAAACTGGGTGGGTGGCACATACCCATAATCCTAGTCCTTGGAAGGTGGAGGCAGGAGGATCAGAAGTTCAAAGTCATCCTTGGTGTGATATAGTGGGTTCAAGGCCAACAGTCTGGACTACAGGAGACCCTGCTCCATCCCACCCCTTGCCACCCCCCCAAAAAAAAGCATCTTCAAATACAGAGAGACAGAGGGTTAAAAGAACTAAATATAAGATGGATGAAGAGGCAGGTGTGGTGGCATACACCTTTAATTCCAGCACTAGGGAGAGAGAGACAGGCATAGTCTATACAGTTTCTAGCAGACATACAGACACAGTGAAACCCTTTCTAAAAAAATAAACCATAAAAAGATACAGAGAAGAAAAATGTTAGCACTCAAGAGTTTAGAAGCTGGACATGTAGCACAGAGGCAAAGCACCTGCCTAGCATAAGTACGCCCCAACACTGTAAACAACAAACATATAAAAACAAATATTTTGGGCTAGATGGTACCCATTGTGTTGTCTAATCTCAACACCCAGGAGGTTAAGGCAAGGAAGAGCAAGAGTTGGAGGCCTAGAATAGATACTTAAGAGTTCTATGCTATCTTATGGAACAGGTTAAAAAGAATTAGTATGATATCTTCCTTAAAAAATCTGATAGCGGCGGGCGTGGTAGCGCACGCCTTTAATCCCAGCACTGGGGAGGCAGAGGCAGGCGGATCTCTGTGAGTTCAAGGCCAGGCTGGTCTACATAGTGAGTTCCAGGACAGCTGGGGCTACAGGGAGACCCTGTCTCAAAAAGACCAAAAAAAATAAAAAAAAAAAACCACCAAAAAAAAAAAAAATCTGATAGAATTCCTTCTACCGTATGGGTTCTGGGGATCAAACTCAGGTTCAGGCTTCGCAGCAAATGCCTTTACACACTGAGCTTTCTCACCAGCTCCTTAGCTTTTTGTTCTGTTTCTGAGATAGGGCCTTACTGTATAGACCAGGCTGGCCTCAAACTCAAAAAGATCTGGCTGCCTAGTGGGATTAAAGGCATATGCCACCACACCACACTGTTTGTTGAAACTCAAGTCTTGGGAGCTGGGCATGGTGGCGTACACCTTTAATTGTAGCACTCAGGAGGCAGAGGCAGGCAGATGTCTGTGAGTTCAAGGCCAGCCTTTTCTACACAGTAAGTTCCAGGTCAGCTGGGGCTACAGGGAGACCCTGTATCAAAAAGACCAAAAAAAGAAAAAAAAAGAAAGAAACACAGTCTTGCTTTGTTGCTTAACTGGTCTTAAGCTTGTGAGTCCAAACACTTTTTCCTTCAGTCTCCCAAGTAGTTGGGTCTATAGGTATATGCCACCATGCCAGTCCATTATGTCTTTTTTTACCTGTCCTTCACAAGCTTCTCTGTAGAGATCTAGCTTCTTCAAGAGTTCTTCATTTTCTGCCTCACAACTAGCCATCTTCTTCTGATAATAGTCCAGAAGCTCTCGAGAAGGGCAGAGGACGGCTAGACGATCCTCAACTGAAGGCAAGGGAGTTGACTCCACCGAGTCTGCCATTCCCTTCCACCTGTTGGGATCACTGAAGCCAGAGGCAACACCACATTTGGAAGCAATTATTAGTCTATGTGAAATCAGAAAACATTTATTAAATTGTCTGAACATTTATAAAACACCATTTTTAAGTAAAGGGGGATTTATGTTCGTAAAGTGCTTATAATTAAAATGCTCATATATATGGAGAGTTTAATTTGACAGGTTAGTGAACAATCAATGCCTTAAAAGTATATTTAAAATGCTGACACCAGGCACGGTGGCTCATGCCTTTAATCCCAGCACTTGGGAGGCAGAGGCAGGCAGATCCCAGCACTTGGGAGGCAGAGGCAGGCAGATCTCTGTGAGTTCAAGGCCATCAAGGCCAGCCTGGTCTACATAGTGAGTTCCAGGCCAGCTGGGACTACATGGAGACCCTGTCTCAAAAAGACCGAAAAAAAAAAAAAAAAGTTAATGGTGCAGAATATAAAAGTCCTCCTATGAAAGTCAATCCAATTTGGCTATATCTAAAATTTACAACATAACCAAATAGATACTGGAGTGCAGAAACTTTGCACTAGACCAGAGTTACAGGTAATGAATGTTGGCAATGCACATTTACTTTTTTTTTTTTTTGGTTTTTTTCACACAGGGTCTCCCTATAGCCCCAGCTGTCCTGGAACTTACTATGTAGACCAGGCTGGCCTTGAACTCACAGAGATCTGTCTGCCTCTGCCTCCCAAGTGCTGGAATTAAAGGCATGCGCCACCATGCCCAGCCCTGCAATGCACATGTTCATTTTTAAATAAGCAAGTGTGTATAATAAACTCTCAATTGGGATGCAGTAGAGCACATGTACAAATTCCTGGTTTAAATCCTCATTGTCACAAAAATATTTTCAGCTAGCATGAAGAAAAAAAAAGCCAAACAAACACTTTCTCAATCACTGAAAGCTTTTGGGGGTCAGACCTGTAGTTCAACCAACAAACTACACGCTTGGCATACATAAGACCAATACCCAGCACACATATCACTAGCACCACACACAAGCTTATGACAGAATATTCATTTAATGGTTTATATTTTTAGAGTGGGAAGAGAGATTAATAAAACTACAGAAATTATAATATTCTGCAGATGGAAGGTAGCGGTAGCTGTGAGGGGTGAGTATGATGCAGCAAGATGGCCCCATCTTTATATGCTAGTTGTTCCTTGTAGTCCAGGATCTACTATCACAGGGGCTCACCCATTCACACTGAATGAATCCTGGTATTACCTCAGAAGAGACCCTGTTTTTATTTTATTTCATTTATTTAGTTAGTTTTTGGTCTTTTTTTGAGACAGGATCTCCCTGTAGCCCCAGTTTATTTATTTTTTATGTGTATGAGTGTTATGCCTGCATGTAGTGCACCAGTCCCATGCAATTCAGGACGAGGACAGAAGAGGGCGCCAAATCCCCTGAAACTGGAGTTACAGAGGGTTGTTAGCTGCCATGTGGGTGCCGGGACTCAAACCCCAGTCTTCTGCAAGAACAGCAAGTGAGTGCTCTTAACTGGTGAGCCACCTCTCCAATCCCCCACCCCTGACCCCTGGCCCTGTTTTTAAATTTAAATTCTGAATAAGAACAGAGAACTGAGATCTAAAATAGTTTAAATCAAGATTTAGGGAATATGCTGACCCTGTAGCTCCTATGCTCACTTCAAGGAGGCTACAGAAGTATGGATTATTTATTTTAGCAATTAAAAAATAAATATCTTACTTTCTGCAGACAGGGGTGTGTGTCGGGGTAAAGTTCATGCTGTCTTAGTCACACCTATCAAATACACAAAAATTCAAAATGAGGGGCCAGGAAGAGTTACTATATAGATGTATAGGTTATGCAGACCAGTTCCCTTCCCAGCATTCTCATATTTGCCTCCTGAAGAGAATGTAGTATTTACATGTATGCTGTGTGTACTGCAACCCCTCAAGTGAGTTCCAAGCCAGACTGGACTAAGTAGTGAGATCCTGTCTCAAAAAACAAACAAAAAGACAGGCATAACAGTGCATACCTTTAATTCCAGCAGGTGGGTCTCTGTAAGTTTGAGACCAGCCTGGTCTACACAGTCAGTGTAGCGCTATGTGAGACCCTGTCCCAAAAAAATAAAGCAAAAAAGTAAAAAATAAAAATTTAAAATAACAAGGTACTTTAACTAGAAAATAACTATATTTTCAATTCCCTAAAACACTAGAGTTCATTGTTGCTACCATTTCTACCATGACCATTTGTCCTCCCTACAGACAGAAGCCATGTATTGCCACTGTACCTCACAAAGCCACAATGCCCGTTTATAGAGGTATCTTTACTTTTTGGACGTGTAAGGGATCGAACCCGGGGCCAGGGCATGCTAAGAAAGCACTCTACTAATCGACTCTACCCCCTGGCTTGAAAAACATATTATTTTATTTACCTGCATAACTACTCGTATTTTTATTACCCCTTATTTTACAAACGAGGAAACTGAGGCTTAGGCTAGCGGGGAGATTGCCGGAACTCAGTCTCCAGGACGTCTGAAGGCCGTTCTCCTTTTCCCACTTCCTCCAGTCCTCCGTGCCCCCGCGCCCGGAGCCCGGTCTTTCCTCAGATGCTAACTTTCTGCAGCCCTCTGAGGACTTCGGGTTCTGACTTCTGGTGCTCCCTTCCGCACGTTAGGAAGACTTTTCCCTACTAGACTTTCTTCCCAACGTTCGTCCTAGGACCCCTTCCCCTTTAACCCGAAACCGCAAGCTCACCACACGCTAAGCTTGGGTGTCAGAGAAATCAACCGAAAAACAACTCAAATTAGGGAGCGTCGTACCGCCACTCGGAGTCCACAAATCCTACCAATCGCCCAGGAGCTTGAGCTTAGTTTGCACGCCAATGGGACGGTTGTTCTAGCAGGAACACTTCCCACCTTACCTTGCGCCACACCGCGCAGAGGTTCCTGGGGAATGTAGTTTTTCTTCTGCAGGGTGTACTGAGCGGAGGCGGGTGGGTAGATAGCGAGGTCTCATGTTTTAGAAAGTACCAATATTGGCCACTCCAGTATGAACTCACGTAACTACTCATTTAAGAGTGAAATCTCGCCGGGCGTGGTGGCGCACGCCTTTAATCCCAGCACTCGGGAGGCACAGGCAGGCGGATAAAAGTGAAATCTCGGGATGGCTCAGCGGTTAAGAGCACTGACTGGTCTTGCCTAGAGGACGGGACTTCCGAGTTCCAGCACCTACAATGGCAGCGAACAACTGTCCTTAACTCCAGTTCCAGGGGATCCCGTGCCCTCTTCTGACCTCCGGGAACACTGCACAGCTCGGGTGCACTTACACACACATGCAGGTAATACACTCATACACATAAAAAATAAAGTAATAATTTTTTTTAAAAAAATTAATGTTTTTAAGAAAATAAAATCTGGGGGCTTGGCATGGTGGTGCACGCCTTTAATCCCAGCACTCGGGAGGTAGAGACAGGTGGATCTCTGGGAGCAAGGCCAGCCAGGTCTACATAATAAGAAATGGCTCCAGTTCCTGGGAATCCAACGCCCTCTTCTGACCTCCTTGGGCACTGCACTTAAGCAGGCAACACACATACATAAAAATAAAAATCAATCAATAAAAAGAAATCTGCTGCAGAAATGATCATGGGGTGGGGCTAGAGAGATGGCTCAGTGGTTAAGAGTATTGGCTGCTCTTGCAGAGGACCTGGGTTTGGTTCCCAGCACCACATGGAAGCTAACAACCGTCTGTAACCCCAGTTCCAAGGGAATCCTACACCTTCTTCTGACCTCCATGGGCACTGCACAACAGGAGTGCCCTTATATACATGCAGGCAATACACTCATGCACCTAAACAACAACAACAAAAGCTGAAAGTAGGAGTTTCAATGGCCCCATGAATTGACAAATGGGATTATATGTAATTAAAAAGCTTCTGAACAGCAAAAGAAACACTCAACAAATAAACAGCTTACAGAGTGGGAGAGAAATCTTTGCTACCTATTCTTAAAACAAAGGGTTAATATCTAAAATATATAAAGAATATAGATAACATAATGGCTGCCATCAAGAAAACAAATGAGGGGGCTGGAGAGTTGGCTCAGTGGTTAAGAGTACTGGATGCTCTTGCAGAGGACCTGGGTTCAACTCCCAGCACCCACATGGTGGCTAACAACTGTCCAAAACTCCAGTTCCAGGAGTCCAATGCCCACTTCAGGCCTCCATGTGCATTGTGTACATGGATGCACTTACACACATGCCGTCAAAACACTCATACATACAAAAATAAAAAAAAAATTAAAAAGAAAACAAATGACAACAACACTAGCGAGGATGGGAAAAGAGAAATCCTTATTCACATTCACTGTTGGTGAAAATGTAAGCTGGCACAGTCACTACAGAAATTAGTGCAGAGGTGTCTTTGTGAGTTTTTTAAATAGTATTTATTTTTGGATTTTATGTGAATGAGTGTTTTGCCTGTAGAAGCAAGAAGAGGGTATCAGATCCCCTGAAACTGGAATTACAGACAGTTGTTAGCCTTCATGTGGGTGCTGGGCACCAAACCCAGTTTTTTCTTTTTCTTTTTCCTCTTTTTTTTTTGTGATAGGGTCTCACTATATAGCCCTGGTTACCCTGGAACTTGCTGTGTAGATAGAACTCATAAAGATCTGCTTGTCTCTAACTAAAAGCAACCATGTCCTGCCCTCTAAAATTTTTTGAACATCTTTTAAATTTTACTACAATTGTGTGTATGTGTATGGGTGTGTGCACATCATGTCCAGGTATGGAGGTTAAAGAATGACTTTATGAATTGGACTCTCTCCACCTTTACATGGGTTCTTGAAATTGAACCCAGGTCATCAGGCTTGCACAGCAAGTGCCTTTACCCACTGAACCACCTCATTGGTCCATCTGGAGGTTTAAAACAATTAACTAAGCCAGGTATGGTGATGCACGCTTTTAATCCCAGCACTCATGAGACAGAGGCAGGAAGATCTCTGTGAGTTCAAGGCCGGCCTGGTCTATATAGTGAGTTCCAGGCCAGCTGGGGCTACAGGGAGACTCTGTCTCAAAAAAAAAAAAAAAAAAAAAAAAAAACCTCCACAAGAGGTTTTTAAAAAAAAAAAAAAAAAAAAAAAAAAACTACTGAAATTACACATACAATAGCTCTACATGAGTCTGTGTATATAGATGAAGACTACATAACAAGAAACAGTGCTAGACAGGAGAAACCTTCTTTTGAGTTGTTGCCCAGGGTGGTCCAAGGAATTCCTCAAATTACTCAGGCTATTGCCATAGTCCTTGATTGCCTCCCAGAACTTGAAGGTAAGACCCTATTGCTGAAGATAGGAAAACAGGATATACTCTGGACACAGGATTTGGAGTAATGGGGCTGGAACTGACCTGGAAGCCACTTCCCCTGAAGGTTAGCTCTCATAGCTTGGAAAGCATTATGCAAGCTGCTAAGGGAGAACATCAATCGATGGGCCAACCCCAGCTTTAAGCTCTAATAACAACATCAATGACCGGCAGAGCAAATGACATTGATACAGTAGTGGCACTTTTATCTTGGGGGTAATTAACAGCTACCTAATTAGACTTAAAGTCCACTCAATGGGAGCAAACTCATGTGGTACTGTAAATGTAGCCAAATACACATGGCTGGAGAGGTCATAGATCTTAGAGAAAACCCCAAGGCTGTCACATCCCTAGCTCAATATCTATCATCTATCTATCTATCTATCTATCAATCTATCTATCTATCTATCATCTCTCTATCTATCTAATCTATCTATACATACATACACACATACATACATACATACATACATATATATTTGTTTTGTTTTTTGAGACAGAGGCTCCCTCAGTAGTGACAGGTGGCCTGGAACTCACTATGTAGACCAGGCTTACATTGAATTTCATAGAGATCAACTTGCCTCTGCCTCCAGAGTAATCGGTTTAATGGCATGCACCACCATGCGAAATCCCAATATATTTTAATTGCATACTTAACGAAGAAAATTATTTTGATGATATTTAAACTCAGAATTTCATTTATATAAATAATGTGGTTTAAGTACTGAACAATCTAAGTCTTGTTATTAATCATTATAATAACTGTATACGAGTCACACTGTCCAGTGTCCACATCTCTTTGTACATCATCATTTTTCTATCAAGAAATGGAGACTAGGCTGGAGGCGCAGCTCAGTGGCACAACACTTGCCTAACATGGCACAAAACCTTGGGTTCAATTTCTAGCACCACAAAAGTAAGTGAATAAACTAAATGGAATCCATCGTCCCCCATTCCTGAACATGGCTCAGTCTTCTGACTAGCAGAATAGTACCTTTTCATTTTTTCTTTTTGAGATGGGGTCTTACCATATAGTCTTTTTTTTAAAACATTTATTTGTGTTTGAATGCATATATGTGTGGACATGTGTGTACCATGGTGCATGCACATGTGGTCAGAGGATACCTTTTGGGAATTGGTTCTTTTTCCACCATGTGGAGTCCAGGGATCAAACTCCAGGTTTGCTTCGCAAGTGTTTTTACCTGCTGATTCATCTCACCTGCCCAATGGCCCTGAACGCTGGATCCACTTCTTTCTATTCTGTAGAGACTCAGGTGGATGAACGGAATGAGTAAAGTCAAAGGACTCAACCCTCTGATGGAGGAAAAGAGTGAATTCAATTCTTTAGCAGTGCTTTTTTATAACTCTCAAAACTACAGTTACAAGCTTGGTGTTTGTGTCAGAATACATGAATGAATTAGTTTCACAAAGAACAAAAACACATTCTACAGGTTTACGTTTAAGGTTAATCAGTAGGCTACAAAGACTGTATTAGTTTCTCCCACAATCTACAGATCAATTTCCAGGAAGGCTAGTCAGCTAGTGATTATGTTTAACATTAAACAATCATCCAATGTTTTGCAGTACCATGACTTAGGCTCAAGATGTTTTTCTGATATGTGACTAAGGTGGCATTCCACCGAGCCCAACATTCTTGTTTTCAAGAAATGTCTGGACCTCTTCCCTGACCATTCTTAACCTCTTCCTTGCTGTTCTCCCCTACTATCCCACAAGTGTTGGATCATTTGGGAGTCTAGACCTTAGGCCATTTCAATCTAGCCCTACTGAAATGCTAAGATTGTCACATTGTGGAAAAGGCTGCTTTACAGGCAGAGAAAAAGGGCTTCCTAGCCAAACAGCCAGCACCAACTGCCTTGACTTTGGAGTGAGTCCATCTTGGCTCTTCCAACCTATTGGATTAGGGTTCTTCAAAGAACTCAGTAGGATGTGTTAGAGAGATTTCTTTTCAAAGCAATTTCAAAGCAAATTTACAGGATTACAGAAGGGTGGGTTAGCAGGCTGGAAAAAGCTGATGCTGCAATTAAAGTCCAAAGTCTGGCTGAATTCCTTCTTAAGGGGTCAGTATTTTGTTCTGTTTAAATCTCCGATTGGATGAAGTCCACTCACTTTATGGAGGGCCACCTGCTTTACACAAAGTTCATTTGTTTTCTTTTTTTAAAAATATATTTTATGGGGCTGGAGAAATGACTCAGAGATTAAGAGCAATGAGTGTTCTTGTGGCAGATCCAGGATCAAATCCCAGCACTCACAGGGCGGCTAACAACCATCTGTAATTCCAGTTTCAGGAGATCAGACGCCCTCTTCTGCCCTCTGTGGGCACTGTGTGACACGGGTGCACTTACACAGATGCAGGCATACACATAAAATTTTAAAAAACTGCTAGGTATGGTGGCATATGCCTTTAATCCCAGTACTTGGGAGGCAGAGGCAGGCAGATATTTTTGAGTTCGAGGCCAGCCTGGTCTACCTAGAGAGTTCCAGGCCAACTGGGGCTACAGGGAGACCCTGTCTCAAAAAAAAGTATTATTTTTATTTTCTGTGTATACGTGTATTGCCTGCATGTATGAAAGTGCACCCATGTTGGGCAATGTCCAAGGAAGACAGAAGAGGGCATTGAATTCTCCTGGAGCTGGAGTTACAGATGGTTGTTAGCTGCCATGTGGGTGCTGGGAATTGAACCCAGGTTCTCTGCAAGAGCAGCCAGTACTCTTAACCACTGAGTTAACTCTTTAGTTCCCTATTTTCTTACTACATCTATTTACTTATTGTGTGTGCTTTAGTGTGTTGATGTTAGAGGACAACTTGTGGGAGTTGGTTTTTCTCCTACCATGTAGCACAGGGATGGAACTCAGGTCATCAGGCTTGGTGGCAGACACCTTTATCTGCTAAGCCATCTCACTGCCCAAAGTCCATCTACTTAAAAGTTAACCTCATCCTAAATACTCTTAACAGAAACATCCAGAATGTTTGACTACACATGTTGGCACTGTGTCCAGACACATAAAGTTAACCATCACAACCAGTCAAGCTGTCAAGAGGAGAGACCCCACGTAAGGCCATAAAAACAGCAGAATGCTACCCAAAGAATTTCTGATAAATCACTTTCTCTTTCTTTTCTTCTTTCCTTCTTCATACTCGTTTACAACGTACCTTGATCATATCCCGCCCCCTCACTCTTCCTTCCAACTCTCCCTCGGACCCTCCAATCAGATCTCCCTCCCAATCTCAAGACCTCCTCCTTTTTTTTTTTTTTTTTTTTTTTTTGTTGTTGTTGTTGAGACAGATTCTCCCAATATAGTAGCCCTGGCTGACCTGGAACTCACAGAGAGTCACCTGCCTCTGCCTGAGTGCTAGGATTAAAGGCACATGTCACCATGTCCAGCTGATAAATCATTTTTAGTTTTAGTTACTAAATTTTGAGGTAGTTTGTTACTTAAAAAAAATTAAAAGGATAACTGAAGTAGAACTGCTTCTTGAAAGTGTTTGTTTGGGGTTTAGGGAGGCAGGTATGAATAACTAGGTTTTATTGTTTGTGGATGCCTTAATCAAATAGAGGGATGGTATGTGTCAATTCTGGTATAGTCTCAAATACAATAAATTTTTTTTGTCGTGTGTGTGCGTGCGCACATGCACATATGCGCACGCAAGGTGCACGTGTGGAGGTCAGAGGACAATTGTCAGGAGTCCTCTCTTTCTGCTATATGGGTTCCAGGGATCTTCACCGTCTGTGTCTTTCATTTTTCTAAGTCAATTGTGCCATTACCATAAGCATCTATTTCTTTAATAATGTCCTGTAACTCTGCTTCTGAGACCTTGTTACAGCTCCTAATGCCTATGTTATAGTTCCATCACTATCCTTATCAAATAAAGTGAAAGGGTTTCTGTGAATTCTGCAGTCAATCGTCAGCCATGCTGCAAGGGTTAGCAGCTTCTGAGACACGACTACACAACCACTGGGCACACTTGACCCATGTTCCACTCAGGGTCTAGTTTTTTCTTTTTAGATGGGCCTATGTACCCCAGGGTGGTCTGAAACTTGCTATGAAGGCCAGGCTGGATTCATATTGTGATCTTGACCTGCCTCAGTCTCCAGAGTGCATGGATTACAGATGTACACCGTAATGTCCAGCTCATATTTATTTATTCGATTATTTAACAGATATTTATTGTGCACCACCTATATACCAAGACTGGTTATTGTAAGAACTAAGTTAACAGTAACATGAACATCACCCCTGCCTTTGTGGAGCTTACAGTCTGAGGATGAAAGGCAATTTAGCAATTTCAAAATTTTTGGCAAGGAAATGTAAATTGCTGGATCCACCCCAACCTTTAGAACTAGGGAAGGTTTATCAGAGGAAACTTTATTTATTTTGATTAGATGGAAGCTGAATTGGATGTAGACAGATGAAATTGAAGGGATGTAGTTAGGTTAAGAGAATATGAAAATGTTCCAGAGGAATTATCTGTTAAGGCTTATATATGAGGAAAAACATGGTGAAGTGACATCATCATAAAAATTTATGACAATTATAAGGATAAATAGAAGTTTTAGAGTGTGGCAGCAATTAAGTCAAGTTTGGAGATGAAAAGTGACAAGATGAATTCTGGATTTCAGACAAAGCAGTCCAACTATGTACTAAGCAGAAAAAGACAGGAGAAGAAATTGAGCTGTTATAGCTCAGATAGGAGTTTAAATTAGCATAACTTTTTTATTGTTGTTTTGAGACAGGGTCTGACATTCCAGCTCAGGCTGTCCTGAACTCACTATAGCCCATGGTGGCCTTGGACTCTTGGCAATCCTCCTGAATGCTAGGATTACAGACATGAGCTACCAAAGATTAAATTAGAATAATTGGAGAGTTGTAATGAAGATGTTGAGACATGGGTAGCTTTTAAGACTTTTAGGTAACAGAGCCTGGAGATATGGCATTGGCTGCTCTTTCAGAGGCCCTGGTTCCCAGCACCCACATGGCAGCCAACAACCAACAACTCCAGTTCCAAGAGATCTGATGCCCTCTTCTGGTCTCCATGGGCAGTGTGCACACATGGTGCCCTTATGTTCATGCAGGGAAAACACTCATACACATAAATTAAAAAAAAAAAATTGTAATTTTGTAAAAAAGGATTTGTACATAAGCAATCTTAGCATGGTGAAGAGCATCTTCACAGCAGGATCATTATGAGTTCAGGGCCTACCTGAGAGGGAGGTAGGTGTGGAGGGAAGTTAGGAAGCTGGGGATGAGAGGGAGGAGGAAGAAGAAAAGGAGGGATGAGAAGAGGGCGGGAGGGAGAAGAAAAGAAAGGCTAGGGCTGTAGTTTAGTGGTAGTGTACTTCTTAAGGATGGGAACAGTAAGAAGATTATTTCTTGATTTTTTTTGTTTTTTTGACAAGTGATTTGAGTGGATTCATGAATCCCAATGATAAATTTAAGGGATTTTGAGTCACCAAGTAGAGCTGTCTAGTGGGTAGCTAAATGAGGTCAAGCCTGGAAATACAGATTTGGGAAGTCATGGGCTTAAATGTGTCAGTTTCTGTACTTGCAGGTGGCTAAGACTTCATGGATGTAGATGTAGGAAGAATGTGGGTTTTTCCCCCGTAATAATCCATGTTAAGAACTATCCTTCGAAGTTCAAAATTGAGAGAGACTGGGAGAGTTAGGGGATGGGGGACACGACGACGACAACACGCGACGGAGAGAAACCATTCATCCAAGACTAGCAGTCGGAAGACCAAAATGGAGATACGAAGAAATGTTGCAGTCGTTAGTTACTTGGTCAAACGAAGACAAACGGGTAACTACAGGCCCTGGAGAACAGATGACGAGGAAGGCCGGTCAGGGAAACCTTGTTTTCAAGTTCCCGACTCACAAAGAGGAATGGGAACCTCCTCACAGGAAGCAGAACTTCTGCTCTTTAGGCTATTACACATTCCTCCGTGCGCCGGAAGCGCGCGTTCCATCCTTCCTGAAGCCGCGGTCCACCTCACCGGATTGCTTTTCTCGCGTCTCAACTCGAGGACAGGTCGTGCGGCCTGCGCGGTCACGCTTCCCGAGTGGTCGGACTCCGCAGAACTCTGAAAGGGGAGCCGAGAAGCCACTCCAGGCTGCGGTGGGAAGGAGGAAGGAGAAAAGAACTCGGCTCGCTAGCCGTCGCGGCGGAGGGGTTCTGTTTCCGGCGTGGCGGAGGGATTTGCAATACGTTAACTTCCGGAAGCGTCCTGGCGCTGGGAGGAAAGCCCTGAAGGAAACAATAACAAACGGCTGGAGAGAGCCATGGTCGAGCTTCTGGGAGCCACAGTTCCTGTCTGAGAAGATGCGCTGCAGCCCCTGTGAGGGGACGTGAGCGGGCTTGCCGGGCCTCACGCCGCCTTTCCCTGCTTGTGCCCTTCGGGGCTCCGCTGGCTGGAGCCATGGCTGGCGTGGGGCCGGGGGGTTACGCGGCCGAGTTCGTGCCACCCCCGGAGTGCCCGGTCTTTGAGCCCAGCTGGGAGGAGTTCACAGACCCTCTGGGCTTCATCAGCCGCATCCGGCCTTTGGCCGAGAAAACTGGTATCTGTAAAATCCGTCCGCCAAAGGTACCGGAGTCCGTGGAGGTGGGGGGGGGGGGGGAGAGGGGGGTTACTCC